TAAAAAAAAAAACTGTATCAAGAATTGTACTGTATAACACGGATTTCTACGACCACAATACCACGCTACACTTAGTGCAGAACGTTATGTATGTAAATTAATCACTCGCTATAAGGCGTATTGCAATTAGCTTTTTTTTAATCCACTGCAGATGCGTCATTAACACCTGCCTTTTAATGCACCTTACCTTAACTGTCACAAAGATCTACTTTTTTTAAATAAACACATGGCCAAAGGATAGTTGATATACTAAGTTCCAAACCTTATGGCAGCTCGGAAATCACATGACACCACACAAAGCACAAGTTTAGCTATCAGATGAAACGATCGCATCATCTGGAGACATCATAAAATTTGAATCTATTTATATCTATTATACTTACGTAAAGGCAGCAAACCCAGCTGGTTATTGCTAAGGTCGAGAGCCCGGAGGCCGGCGCAGTCCCCGAGGGTCATCGGCACCTGCGTCAGCCTGTTGTTTGAGGCATCCAGCTCCGCCAGAGAGGTCATCTTGCCGATCTCCTTGGGCAGCGTCGCCAGCAAATTGTCCGGCACGAGAAGGACTTGAAGTGGCATCTGACATACTTCTCTCGGCAACTCCGTTAATTGATTTGAACTGTTGACAAAAATAATGTTCTATTTAATAAATATTCTTATATTAATTCAAATGGTTGTGATTTACCAAGGAAATGATCAATTTATGAAATTATTGCCTATCGGAAGAATGCATACGAAGACAAAATATCTACAGTTACCTCTACCTAATCTTTGCATTTAGATTCAGTGATGTACTATACCAAATAAAACTCTCTTCGTTATCCACTTACAGAGATCCAAGTAAATTAATTGATTTCCCAAGAGTACTTCGAAATACCTGAAGCAATCAATCAAGCATTACTCAGCTAACACCGTCTAGTGTACACTAAAGCCCATTCAACACATCACTTTACTGTTATTTATACACTGAGGCCCACTTCGCTAAGAAGTTTGCATGTAATTAGATCAACCGAAACCATAAATCGTTCCGCATCTAATATAGGGCCTCGTGCTGAGGAAACTTGTAAACATTACGTACGTACACCCGATATTTGTAAATCACGTAACTATGCGATTTATAAAAGCACTCTACAATATTGGCGAGCAAATGAGAATTATCGCGATCCAAGCATTCGAGTTGCGGAGAAAGTTGCCATCAATTGCCTTTTGACAAGTAAATGTAATAAATTTGAAGAAATCTGCTTTTGTATTTGTGAAATTGCTTTCCATTTTGCCTTTTCAGCTATAAATTTGTATATATAATATCCTAGACTTAGCAATGAATGTCCAGTCATTTAACATCGGGCGAATGTCATCTTGTGAATGTATGTACTTATATACGAAATTACAAAACCGATAGATTATTAAACGATAGATTTAATAACTTCTCTTTGATTAAAGAAACGAAATACGTTTAGTCTTCCGATTGTTGCAATTTTTATCGTTTTTCAAATCGTGTGACTGACTCGATTTGAGCATCGATTTGTGGCAAACGATGAAATCGGTTATAGCAAAAAATGCACCGAGTCCATATCTAAGCTTCCTGCAATTATAATGCAGTGGCATGAACACGAATACTTTCACATTTTGCTAACAAAGCTAACAAGCGAAGTGGAGCAGAGATAATTGGGTGCCCTTTATCATTTCGAACGATACGTTTATCATGATTATATTTTGTTAGGTATTTCAAAAGGTAAAAGGGTAAATCATGGCATGGCTTTTCGTTACAAGATGTTTTAGAATCTCCAAAGTGTCACCATATAACGCACTTTCTTAACATTGTTATGCGTAAACAGTAAACACCACGGTACATCCAAACATACAGTAGTACAGATATCAAACACATTTGTAACAATTTTAAGAGTATAATATCCATCATCAAGATCCAATTAAATAACCCTCAACTAGCAGAAGCCGTCTGTATACAACAGTATATTTGAACTAAAGTAGCGTTCACATCTTAAACGGATAGAGTATTGAATGTTACACATTTAGAGGAACAACTTCTTTTTGCGTTAAACCAATCCAGGCCGTCTAGACTCTAGACGCCTAGACGTGGCTCAGAAACTGGATTCAATACCGGGATTAATAATAGAATAGGGTTCAACGGACTCTATGTTGACAGACATTGATAGGACGTTTGTGCCTAGATCTTAAACAAATAAACAAGATTTTTTTTAATTAAATTGTGGATTAAAATGCATTGATAAACAAAGCTTGCATTGATAAAAACATTCACATGAGAAATTAGTGAACTTGTTGTCTTCGCTTGTAAATAAAACCTAATTCTATGAATTTATGAGCGTTTGGATTTAGACAGAATAGATAAGAATCCATTCATTGTTCAATTCATATTCATTGTCCTTGAAATGTCCGCATCAATACATTGCAACAAGTTTCAATTCCACTTAGGACTGTCAACATGTGTTCGCAGCAGATCCGACCGTTACTACGCCGTATAAGGCGGTACAATACGCCGTTTCACTGGAACGCTGGGGACGAGGTTTGCCAACCGACTCCAATGTAAACACGCTTTCTCAACTTGCCGTACCGATGAAGTAAACTACGAAACATGAGACATCAATCTTGTTATGCTTTTTGTCGTAAGTCGATTGTCCTATAACCACATCCAATAATAAAAACCAAGCAATTCGTGGCATATGATCGCTATCTTAGAAACGGGATTAGTAAAATCTATCAAACATTTTAATCAAACTTTGTTTGATAAAGTTTTTTTTCTTTTATTTATAAAAAAAAACTAATCTATATATCGATCCATGATAATTTTTTAGTACCTTGAAATTCTACAGTCATATGTTTTTAAAAGTAAATATTACTATAACTTTTACTACAACATAATGTTTAATAATATTTTAAAACATGAATATTAACGATAAAGAGTACGTTGTGAACTAGCAGACCATGACTTGTGCGACAAAAAGTCGTTACCAACATAAAAACATCGCGTGATGAAAATGTGGCAAATATCAGTCAACGCGGAGAATTATTTGACGTAACAAGACCTGTTTTCTCTACTTCCTCCTATATCTATCTAATGATTCCTTTTATTCTCACAAATATTAAACAAACTGGCCTTTACCTCATATGTTTTTTGTTACCGTCCACTTTGCCGTTTTCATTTCACTTGATTATCATTAATCCTTATTCAAATTAGCAGACACTTGATACATGGAATAGAAAATATAAGACAAAACGTACTTCTAAAACAAAAGCCTATCTGATAAGTGTGTTTACAATTAAACATTATTGCTAGTGAATAACAATACGTCGAAGATGATAAAACGATACAAAATGTGAAAGCGTATGTCCATGTTATGCATTACATCAGACAGATCACATGGAACATTATTCAACAAAACCGTCGTCTCGCCGTCTGGTCAAATGTTTGGCAAGGAAGCGAGTTTACAAAGATAAATTACGTCCGTATGCAAAGTCTGACGGACGACGACGTCTGAATACACCTACGAGTACGACAAATTAGAGTAATGCTATGAGTTGCCACAGCCAAAACACCTGCGCAAAAACATAAAAATCCCCCCCCATGATTTGGTGCATAAGCAGAGAAAGAAAACATTGTAGTCAGATTAGGATTGCTAACTAAAGATAACATTGAATATAATAACTAATCGGTGCTAATCTTCTTAAAATCGATAGGTTTTTGTTTTCAACTATTAGTAGTAGTCTATGACATACACAGTCAACATTTTTAAATGTACTTTTGGTTAGATTTCCACTCTTACATTTCAAGAGGCATCAATAGCAGCACGGCTAGTCACACGCGAGGTCTACTAGCGAGTGTCGGCGACCGCTCGTGCACGGGAAAGCGTAATGATACTTAACTATGATGATTAGTGTAACCACTCCGCATACCTATCACGCATACATACGGAATATTTTCACCAACGCTTTGTGAACAAATATTGATATAGATTTGAGTGAGATAGTTCTGGATATCTACGAGAGGTGAGAAAAGCTTGAAAAGAGACGGAAGGAATTGCTTAAAAAGTGACATGATCAAGAAGGTAGTGAAGCCTGAGATGACGAAAGATAGATTAACTTGAAGGAGAAAATCCCTACGAGAGAAGGAAGGAAACATGATACAATCTCAATTTTGCCTCCATTTATCTTTTCTGATATAACCATATCTAAATGCGAGCGACAATAATTGATAGACATTGTAGAGGTCCAGCTTTTAAAGCGTACTTACCTTTTTTATACAAGCTTGAGCAAACAATTGGGTGACCTCTCAGCAATTTATATGACCGTGAGAGGTTCTTTGTTATTGTAAATATAAGAAGCTTTTGTTTGACTTTTTGCTTTTATTGTCTTAGAAAATGGATATCAAATCAAAGGCCTTGGGAACAACAAACACTATCATTTGTACTTCGATTTTTATCTAAAAGTCGTGCGATGTTTCGATGTTCTATGATAATTGGTTTTTCCTTTAGCCACGCTCTACCTTCAAATAATCTCTACCAAGAGTTTAAATACATACGTACTATGACATACTTAAATGGTAGGTAAAAGCGATATTAAAACATATGTGAGAAAATATAACTATAACGCACGGTGTCCCTAACCCCTCGGAAAAATTACACCCACTTTCCGCTCCTGCGAATGAAGGTCGCAGAGCGGGGACTCGGCACGGGAACATAGGGGAGAACTCGTTATAGCGAGGTTACAATACTACCTTGTAGAAAAAGGTACCATTAGTAGAATTAACCATCACTACTATTGTATATTTGTATAAAGTTTACTAAAGAATCTACGAAGAAATTCAAAGATACGTGATGTCAAACAATCTGCACTGCCAACTGCGACTTTTACGTTGTCAACAAATTCAGGGTAAATTCAAGCCCCTTGATAAATATTAAGGAATACTTTGGTTTATAAATTACGAATCATGAATTGTGACTTAAAAGGTTTGCTATACTCGTATATTCAAAAGCAAAAGCGAAAGGAAATATTGCATGGGTTCAGATCATGGAATCGTGTGAGCACTCGTGTCGACCCAGTTGTTCTCTTTGAGAACAAATACGGCATGAACGAAACACTATCACTAGAACTAGTGTATTTGAAATACAAGCCAAAACCTGACACGATTCTTAAAAAAACTGGGAATGGAACAATGGAAGATGAAAGGACATATCGTTAGAAAACCAATACGAAGTTTCTGTACTTAAAGGATTGTAAGTTGTTAATTACGTCTTGACTAAACATATCTAGGTAACAAATCAAGCCACAAGTGATATCCACCTATACAATCTAAGCTGGAAGGAACACATCGCGGACATTTGTTGTCCCCAATGATTTTTTTCAAAACGTTTTGTCCAAAAGAGAATTTTTATATTCTATTATTTTTATTTCACCTATCATAACTATCGCATACTTATGATTATATAAAAAACAGGGTTTTTATGTTAACCATAAGTTAGCTGTATTATCACAACCTTTAGGCGCGAGTGTCCCACTTCTCAAGTCGTAATATTTTCCTTAGTTTACCAGACACGTTACTCGACAAACTCAGCTGAATACAAGATAAATTGCCACATTCGCACACATGCTTTAGCAATTGAGACATAAAAGTAAAAGGGAGCTAATTTACTATATAACCTACTAGCTTTTGCCCACGACTCCGTCCACGTGGTATTAAAAAAAAGCAAGTAGCCTTTATGTTCTTCCAGATTATCATCTACATCTATGCCAAACTTCATCAAGTTCCGTTCCGCAGTTTAGGCTACAAACACTAACAAACATCCATCCATCCATCCATCTAAACTTTCACATTTATAATATTAACTAGCTGTTGCCCGCGACTTCGTCCGCGTGGTATTAGAAAACATACGAACTATATAAATAACAAAAAGCTACGTATGCTTCAGGAACCGGACATTTCTCGGGGATGAACCTTATCCCATGTGTACACCAGACTTTGTTTTATATCTATGCCAAATTTTAATAAGATATGTTGCACCGTTGCAGAATGATCGAGTAAACATTAAAAACTAAATTCATGAATCCCACAGGAACCGTAACTATTCCCGGGATCAAAAGTAGCCTAAGTGTTCTTCCAGACTATGCCTATAACCTGTGCTAAATTTTATGGAGATCCGTTCAGCCGTTTAGGCTACAAACGCTAACAAACATCCACATCACACAACGTCGTAACTATTGCATTTATAATATTTTATATTATATGACATGATATAAGTAAGTATGAATATGACTTAGTTCAAAATGATGCGAATAAACTTCACTTTTATTTGCCATTCAAAGATAAGGATATCATCGACGCATTTATTCGTAACACTTAGATAAGAGGCGTTTAATCAAACGTTTTCTATTTTGAGAACTGAGCAAGCAATTATTGAAGTAAACTGTTGCGCTCAAAGACGACACAGAGCATTGCAACAAGGAACAATCATAAAGCTAATACGCAACATTGATGGAAAATTTTAATAGCTCAGAACGTAAATGAACATAAATTATGACAAGATCACATCTTCAAATTTTAAATTTTATTTTTGTTCAATAGACAGTTCTCATTTGTTTGGCAACTCAGTTAAAACATACAGACGAATTGAGTATCTCCTTCTTTTTGGAAGTCGGTCAAAAATACGTATGATTACAACCAACGCTACGACAGAAAAAACAAATGCTGTTTGTTACCATAACAATGCGCGCACATTATGACGTCACTTGTTTGTTCCGTAGTTATGAAACAATAACAACCCCCATTACCCCGGCGTTAATGTCAACTAGTTACCAACTCGGGCGGAACATTAGCACGGGCCTATATCACTAGATACATACTCCCGTGACACCATAGGTCATTGAACCCTGGTATTTGCAGTGACCTACAAAATATACTTCTGTTATAATATCGAAGCTCTTTTTGTGCGTTTCTTTTCTATGCCTATTTGGCATCACGCCATACAAAATAAACAAAATATTAGCTAAAAGCCTGCTTCTTAAGTTGTATTCCTTAATTTCAAAGATTAAATAGATTGTGCGTACAAATAAAGATTTCAGATTGACTGCAATACTTTGACTACACATTTAACCTAACAAATTATTCTGACAACATCAAAAACATATTTAGATTATAGTTTTTTGATTATATTTACCATCAAAAGGCATTCCTCTTGGATTTAATAGCCGCGAGTGTCACATGTTCGTTTATAAATTGGGTCGCGACGCAAATTATAGACCCAGACAGAAATAGACATAAATTAGAGCACCAGGATGTTATAAATTGTAAGAGTTAGGAACAACAAAAAATGATTCGAAATAACCACGGCGAGATATTAACGCAACACTGCTGAAGAATCCTTTCCAAATGACTACTAACACATTGCTGATCGCTTGGTAGTATTTCTTACACGATTAAACTTACCATTATGTTGCATTCAATCACTTTTTATTATAAAAAGCTCATACAATTCACTTAACCGTTTCAATCGCTTTACACACTTAAGATCATCCACGTCCATTTATTACACATTTTAATAGCAAAAAACAACTGCATAGACGCGTGATAATATAATTAAGGCCAAGAGAGGAACCATTACAGGCCTTAGTCCGAAGCGATTGCTACCAGAGCATCATTAGCTTCCACCAGACTTACTAATGACCAGCATCACGTCCAAAACCGTGGTTTTATAAACCGGATAACATTAGGGTTACATCAAAACGCCATTTTCACTAGTACGACGAACCAAACGAATATTTTCAATGACGCACCTTTGACTATAATAGCATTAAAATGAGTTCACGTTTTGACTGCTTACTTAGTGGAAAAGTAGTCTAAATTAGCCAGACTTTATTTCTATACGAACAGGGCAACGTCTTCAGATCGCTTATCATTTTTATAGCCATTACAGAATGTTGATAGATTTAAGGGCGTTTAATTTAATTTGTATGTTTACGTTACCGTACAAATAAGCAATGCAAATGAGTTATAGTAATGGTTTACTCTTTTCCGCATTTAGTCATGTCCTTATTATGTTTTAAAGTCTTTACTTATGTTTGGGAATTTCAATTAATCTGAAATCTCTCATGAAAACAAACATCTTCAGATTCCTTTAACTATATTTATAAAAGAGGCGATTTCATTTTATATTTTGGTGTCCTAAGGATTAAAGTCGTCTAATAAATCTGAGACCGATATCGTATCCGCAATATAACCCCATATCACTTTCTATCTTATCCCGTTTGCTTGACTTACTTTGACTGCAAGGTAACAGCTTTTCCTATTGTTAACCTTGTCACCCTACTCCATCTTTCTCTGCATCGTTTGGCACCTGAAGGCAAGCTTCTTGATCATTTCTCGTATAGTAAATCTTCACTTTATGCGATCTCTAGGAACATACCGCGGTACTGCGTTCCTTTGATTAATTTCCTTCTTGAATACGTTTTATGATTTTTGAAAGGCCAATAGACTAAAACGTGTAATTTCTAGATGTAGATCTTTCATTCATATTCATATTCTCGTTTAAGTTGTTATACTTGTAAACGATAATAATCAGAGCAGAGACGGGGCCGAGGCGAGGGGAGTACAAACGCGAGCGAACGCTCTACCGTAAGCTCCGCGCGCCCGCCACCGCACGTCACCCGCCCGTCGCCCGCCGGTCGAAGTACGCGGCGAGGCGGTTCGCTCGATACGATTCGGCGTCTCCATTAGGGTGACCATACCAAAATGTGGAACTCGCGCCATTAAAGCCAAAAATGGTCAAATTAATATACTTCAGCATAAAGCAAAAAACCTTGAGATAAAGTGTTTATGCTTTTGCCAAAAACATACATGGATATATTATGTAAAACAGACTTGTGGATTTTGCTTGTTTCATTTAGTAAAAACATCTTATTACATCTATGGTTGCTATAAATAAAAATATTTATTTTCAAAGGCTTTTGAAAAGAGAGAATGAATATTGTTAAGCACATAAAAAAATAAATTTCTGTAATCAGTGTCGATTAAGAAGATTGTTGGTCACCCTATAAAACGCCGCCATTTTACGACTAAACGCGGCGCGTCAGTCGCGCGGCGTCCGCTCGTTCGTGTGTACCGTCGCGTTTAAACGCTGGCGGTTCGTTTTCAAAATAATTTCTATAGCTTTTTAAGATGACAACAGTGCATTTCGAATACGACCCGGAGAGGCTAATAGAGGAAATAAAAAAGCGTCCCGGGATATGGGATTATGATAATGTTGCTTATCGTAGCAAGGCAATACGGCAAAAACTATGGACGGACGTTGTAAAGGAACTAGTCGAGCCAAACGTCAAGTTCACGAAGTGTGAATTGCGAGAACTTGGTAAACAATATTAATTATTATAAATTTTATATTATTACAATATTATAAATTTATTACGTTAATTATTTTGCATTTACGAAACGAAATGTCAGACTTTTTATTAATGACATTTATTTGCTGTCATAGAGATGACTCTATTTCATTTTAGGCATAGATTAAAAATCGGAGTCCATCCCATAGACACTAGTTTTTATGTTATTATTTCGTGGTTATAAAACATTAATTATTTTATACGTTTTTGTATATTAAAAGTACTTAAATGAATCATTTTTAAATAAATAACTACTATGAAATACTGCATACCATTACTATGAATATTTAAACAAAACCATGCGTTTAAATTTAACAGAGAATGTTTCGAAAAGCATCCAAATTAGTCTTTGTTTATGGTAGACAGTTTGTTTATAAACAGAATGCAAGGGTCTACTCTACTCTACACACGTGCGCTACTACGCTATGAGATTCAAACATTACGTGAACTCGTTATACAACGAAACTGTACTCGACTTACGGTATAATTAACGAGGAAATGGCCATAAAATGTACAAACACTGCGATATAAAATAGTAGAACAAATAGTGCGAATATTTCATATTCATAATGTGTTTCTTTACAGAAATCCAGCTACAGAAGAAATGGAAAAGCATCAGAGATTGCTTTCAAAAATTCGTAGTAAATCCGAACAGATCAAAAAGACCTTATATTTACAGCAAAAAGCTTAATTTCCTTCTCAAGGAGGAGTCGACTGCGAGAGCTGGTGCATCTACTGAACAAGAGGATGGGGAAAAGACCAGCATTTGGCGAACAAGAAGGAAGTTGAGTATTAAGAAAGAAAGTTCAGATGATAACGATAGTGAAACATACAGTTACAATGACGATAACAAATCGGACGGCTCCAACGTTGACGAAGAAAATGAAACAAAATCGCCTAAAAAGATCAAAACCAATAGCAATAGCCTCGTCGGCGAAATCGCTTTCGCTAATGTTGACGCGCATAGTTTTAATGAATCAGAGGATAGTGATAAACTATTCCTTATCTCCCTTCTACCTCATCTCAAGTCAATACCTGATGAGTTCAAATTAAACGTCAAAATGGATATGATGAATGTGCTGAGAAATGCAAATTTTAACACGAGTCAAAAACTAATTTAATTACATATATTACTATAACATGTGTGTATATTACTATAACATTATTGTGTATACTTTAAGTATAACTTTATAGAATAATAAAATTGTGACATTCCATATACGATAAGTTATTAGAATAAAAAAGTAAACTGTATTTAGTATCTTTCCTTTATGTCTTAAATACAATGATTATTAATTTCTTCATTAGTGGAACAATTTAGATTGTTGATATCTTTAAATAAGCTACCTTTAATATGGTCTTATACGAATAAGTTTTTTATATATTTCGATTGTCAGTGCGCCATGGTAACGCCTAAGAGTAGAGTCAAATAGCTATGGTACTAACCTGAGATCAAGATATGTTAGTGATTGAAGTCCACCAACAGTCTCCGGTACACTTCTGATTACATTTTGTGATAGCAATAACTTCTCTAAATACACATACGTCGTCACTTCATCAGGCACGTCACTAAATCTATTCTTAGACAAATCTGAAACAAACAAATCGTACATTAGTCAGGTAACATTTCACTCTTGTACGCGTGAACGAGAGTAATAGATCCGTACAATACTAAATTTAATAGTAGGGGAGGGGAGCTACAAATAAGGGCAGAGAACAAGGTTCTTTTGTACAGTTACGCGGTTTTATGGCTAAAAGTAATGGCTAGTCATAAAACCGTAATTTCGTGCGGGTTGTAATTTCCTAAATAAACAATCAATTATTCAAAACGTGACAAAATTTATGCGAGTACAAATCATACAATTATAAAGTACTTTTGTCTGTTCATAAATTTTCTCATTTGCATTATCGACTTTATAAGAGAAAATCACACTGGCGTTTAAACATTTTGATATACTCGCTAAATGTTTCCTGTTCCTATGATTAAAATTCTAAAACTTCATAAACAGTCTACAGGGGAAATTCTGCAAAACTTACAACCACTTCTGTACTAAACTGTTTTAGAAAGATTTTTTTTACTTCGTTATACACTTCACAACTTGTCACTCTGCTTAGTCTATCTATAGCCGCCTTATAATGATTCTCAAGTGGCCAGTTCTCGTCCACTTGAGAATCTATTGATACTATCGTTTTTAATTTTAAAATCAATAAACAACATCGTCGCTTTTGCTTTGTTTTTAAGTCTGTTAGAATTAAACATTTGACTAAGAATAAACCGGAATGATGTGAATGTTTGTTACGAATAAACTCTAAAACTATTGACCCGATTTCAAAAATTCTTTCACCATTCGAATCTTATAGTTTCCACGAGTGTTTGAAATATAAACGCCCATCTGTACGACGCTGGGACGAGTCGCTAATCCTTACTTACATCCGTATAGAATATCAAGACAATTTGCCAAGCGATTACACTTCCTTATCTTCAATACTACAGTATGATATGTATTTAGATATCTATACTCGAAGTCGACGACATCTTAATGAGAGGAATTTATATAAGTTGCTGTAATGCTATTGGATATTTCTGCGTAAACCAGTCGTAGTTCGATGACTTCGTATTTAGCTGGAAGGGTTAAGCGTAGCTGGATAAAATTATACACAACCATAAATGATAATACAATGTTTGATTGTAGAAGGAAATAATAAGCAATTACAAGATCCTGTATTCTTTGCATGCTTAAAAACTCAGAAGCTGAAGGATCAATAACAAAGCAATTATCCATTTAACAGGACAAACTACAGTTACAATTTTATAAACATTGTCCTGTTTGTGTTTCTTAGAATTTAGTATTGCTGTGGTAGTCGTGTGTGTTTGAAAATATGTCAGTGGCCAAAGGAAAAGAATGCGCACAAACTGGTTTGACAAAACGTATGGCACCTTAGGAATCGTGAAATTTGGAGTTCTTACAGAATTTTAACTGGTTGCTATACGCCATCGTTTCTAAAACAATTGTGTCGTGAATATCCACTGTCATACGTCCGTGACAGAGAGTTCAGTGTGAACCTACGGTTATGTACGTATATTATCACGTAGCTTATTTCTTACTAGCGTAGCGTTTGATTTGAAGTTTAAAATGACGTCTTTTAGCAGCGCACACATTTTTTTTATTCAAAAGATCACGTGACGATTCCTTATCGTATGAATAAAAAGTTGTTTCCATAATCTGAATGCACAGGAAATGCGTAAGAATATAGATGTGCGACAGGATCTGACTCATATCGTGATGCAAAGAAATCGACGTCTTGGAAATTGAATCTTTAAAAAATGTTGCTATGGAATAATATGTTCGCTTGTTAGAATTAAGGTTACTATGAATTATCAATGGTCAAAGTTATTTTCACTAGATTTACTTTTAAATTGTATGCAACATTCTATAAACGATTCGCATTAGAGGTTATTTAGTACTCAGGGTTGGTAAAGGTTACTCATGCAGTAAATTTGTTTTAAATGTTAAAATATCCCCTTACAGGCTTAGTGACCAGTGTGGCAAATAAACAATTCTTCCAAATTGTGTAACGAAAATCTCAAACAAATATAAATCTGATACAAAACTAGGGTTCATCTGGGTTCACCGCATAAAAAGCTTGGAAACAGAGCCTTTGTCTGCGCTATGTCGGCGAGTAAGTGACTACAAAAAGAATGCATCTAAGTGATAATGACGCGCAGTCGCCTCCAAACAATGAAGATGACTTTAACATGTAACTCGATGACACTTCCCACCATTGCAAGGACGAGGATGTAATCTGAACACGTTCAAGAATAATGTGTGAAATTGGACAAGAATAATGTGATTGAATGTGGGTACAAGAGTAGTGGTAGACCGAAGTATGGACAAATCGTGTTAATGAGGATATGAGTAAGAAGGGAGTGAATTTAGAGACAGATGATAGAGATGTATGTAAGGGTACTACTTATGTAGTACCCTTACATACATCTATATAGACTAGTTCCAACTTTCCATGGAGGTGGATAATCACGTTCTTATTTTATGAGAAATTGCAGAGTTTAGTATGGACACAGTATGAAATAGAGAAACTTACTTGCGATGTACCACATCACTCAGGTTGATGAACTGTTCCTTCTAAATTTTCTATTGCGATAAATTTTGGAACGCTTGCCAAGTGACCCAATTGTCATAGTTTAACATTTATTTGTACGAGATTTCGCATTGCAGTAAAGCGATGATCATAGGCTTTTCTGATATTACAAACTTTCATATTAAGTGAATTATTAAATTATATAAAGTTTTACTCTCCCCGTAGGTCGTAGCTACAATTTGCAAGTCCTCAAAACATTTAACCATAAAGCATTTACAGCCATAGAATGATATTAACATAAAATGGTAGGCAAAACAACAGCATAGACCCCATGTTTTAATAATTACACACCGCAGTTTCCGGCGCGAAGCATAAATAACGCAACGGTTGCGAGATACATGACTCACATACTCTGAGGCTGATTGTACCCAACTATAAGCTCTCATTTTAAACTCAACAAATCCTCTAGTTTCGTATTCATAAGTCGAACAATAAAGAACCGCATTGTTATCATACGGTCATAAAACGTTTAGACATACCGTAAGCCATTGTAGTAATTGTAAACATTACAACTTATGAGTAGTTGCATCTATTCTCTTTTAGTAGTCTATTTTCTAAGCTAAAAATTGAGGAGTTTAATAAATATTACTTCTTACCAATTCTATAAATGCGAAAGTCTGGATAGATGGATTTGATACAGACGTAGAAGATAGTCTGGAACGCATAGAGTACCTACATACTAAGATTTTGAATTCCATGCAGACATAGTTTCTGGCAAAGCTGAAGTTGCTGTCTGAAGGCAAAGTTGCTGGCAATTCTGAACTCAATGAAAAATTAAATTATAAATGTAATAAGAACTACGAGAATGTGTTAGTAAAAGAGGTCAGATTAGCATTTCATTACATGTTAATAATGCGTTCAATCACATCACTAATACGGCTTCCTCGTCAAAGTCTGCCAAGTAGAGCATACTCGTTTGTTTTAGTAACCTATATTATGCAAGATCATACAAATCTATCAAAATACCTTTTGATTATATTCTTATGTTGGAATTAGTTAATGTTGGGGAAACGTCGTAATTTGTAAAGCAAATTTGTCAAAACAGCGAATCGCCTAATGCTGATCGGTGGTTAATTGACATCCGCAATACTAGGGGAGCAACAAATATCCGTAAAAAACATAAATAATCTGATTTAACAAAAATGTTGATATCCAAATCTAAACAACGAAAAACATATTGACGATAGCTCGTTGAGGTCAGTAATCCCGTCTCTAGCGGCAAACGTTGAGTAAAAGCAAGGTCACATTGCTATTTGCGTGTAACACGCTGTACAATGTTGATGAGCAAAATATATTGTAACACCCTTTATAGTGCCCAGTGGCTGACTTCAAAGGCTGGCCACGGGTCGTTGCAAGGCTGTAGATATTAATATATCGAGCAAATACAGTGAAGCGGTGTCGGATATAAAAGGGACGGATTGGTAATGTCAACTGGGGCGAATGAAAAGCTAACAATACTATATATATAACACTAGCTGTTGCCTGCCACTTCGTCCACGAAATATTAAGATAATATCCTATAATATGCCCGTCTGTGTCAGCTACCCTTCAGTGAAAGTCCGGTCGAAATCAGCCCAGTCGTTTCGGAGATTACCCGGAACAAACGGGGCTTGCTGACATACAGGCAGACAAAAAAAAAATAGTGCGATTTTCGTTATCAGCAACGCAAATATATCATCTTCCCGATATCTGGTATCTTTCTTTTGATATTACACAGACACGCCAATTTTATTAAATATAAAGATGTGTATTCCCAAAACTCCGTGGACAGAGTGGTTACTAACAAATAAAAAAGTCGTTATTTGCGCAATTTAATAATAAGAGAAAAAATTCTTTGGGACGTTGGTCTTTGTGCATATTTTTATATACAAGAGCAAATCTATTTTTGTACAGGTTATGTTCAGAATCTAACGACCCGATTATAATTGTAACATTTTTAAGAAAACTTCAAAATAAACCTACAGTTACAAGACGACCTTTAACTAATCTAACAATATTCGTAGTGATAGTTCAAGCGAAGTATTTTTAGCTAACATAATGAGTATATTAAAGGGCATTATAAAGGTCGTATGAAAATAGAGTAAACATGCAATCATCAAAGAATCTAAAATAGCCCATCTTTTGCGGAGCGTAAATTATATGTTTCCAGTGAATGAGTTCGAGTTGGCACAACTCTAGGTGATTATCTTACCTTATCTTTATATGAAACAAACGATAACAATGGAGTTGTTGCGTACATCATAACACTTCAAATTATCGTAAGAAATGTCACTCTCTACTATTACAAAACAAAAACTGTTATAGCCTGTACATTATCCCCTTCTTTATTATTCTCCAGACACTTGAAACGAACCCCTTGCTCATTCGAGTCATCAAAGAATTTTAATACCAAGAGATTCAATTACATCACTTGCTATCAAAGCGTTAGCGCAAGAATAAATTACCTAGCAACCGGCAGCAAAATTCCGAAACGAGTTGCTCGTCTAGTTTTTACAGCGGTAATGTCCTCGAAAAATAACCGCCATCGTACCACGGTCGTCTCTAACGAGCCTATTTTTCGGCACAAGTGCGTCTTTTACTAACGCCAGCTAAACAAGTCGACCATGTGCCGGAAATTTATACATTGAAGTAAACAAGTCATCAAAGAAACGCTTCCGGTCTTAAATAACGATGATGCTACTGGATTTATGAACGGTACAGATAATCTCTTGTTAAACTGCCAACTATTCCACTCTTCTTTCTTCTTATTATGTTAAAATACGCGAGTATACTTGGATTAAAATTCGCTAGCTTATTACGAAACGTAGCATAAGCGTTCTACACATAAATAAGAGGCTAAGAAGGTCACATTTAAAAGCTTAGCTGTCCAACACGCCTACACAATGCTTGTCTGAAGTTAACGCTAAACGAGCATCGAACCTGAATACTCTGCTTACATCATGCTGGTTATTTGCCAAGTCTCTGCGGGCCTCCACAACCTTGAACTGACTTAATGTATAGGCCACGCAGACAATGATATATTAACGTAAAACTAATCTAGAAAATTGGTGGCTATGTCTAGAATATAAACAAGTGTGTCTGTGATTGATAACGGTCTCTACTGATTGAATTATAAATCGTCTTTTATTTTGTCAGAGACGTACAAATGCATGTATTAAAATGAGCACATATTCCATAATCCGAGGAAAAAATAATTGTTGTGATTACAACGGGGATCTGAACCAGTTTTTTCATAGAACACTTGCAAGTCTATACCACACGTCTATCGCCTATTATGTTATGAACTCGATTAATGTGTCCCCATTAAAACGTCAATGGAATTGCATATCGAATTTAAATTGGCTAGTCAAATATAATGATGATATAGTCTGTTTAATTTTAGACATCGTCTATATTGTTGAGGCGCGAGAAAATATGTATTGCTTTTGATGCACCTTGGATCTAATGTCTACACTAATATTGTTTTAACGTATGTTTGTCTCATCATTAGCATCTTGGATACTAATAATCAACAAAAATAATTGACAAGGCAAAAACGATAACAAAACAGCTATAAACGTCCGCAGTACAGTACTCGTTGCGAGAATAACTGCTAACTTTAACATCTGTTTAAAAGGACCAAATAATTCAAGGAACACTGACAATAAATTCATAAACGTGTCGGCGTGCGTCATAAGCATAAAACATAGTGGCGGGTTACACGGCCGCTGCCTCGTATGAGTAGGTTTGTATAACGGTACCATAACGAACAACTGTCTACGGCTTTATTTTGACACACAATTGCGCTCAATTCATATAAATAATACGCGTGTAACGAATGTCAGCCAGCACCCAATGACGGAGCATAATTCTTATAAAATTCTCTTTTCATGTACTACGGTTCCATACCAATCAACTAGATTAAATTTGGCCGCCTGTAGGGTAATGGTAATTTACTCGATATATCATTTTGTTATTGAGTTACAATAGTGGGTGTGTGTTGTGTACAGTGGAATAAAATCGCGTCAACACTGCCTAGATGTCATTTGCGGATTAGGAATAAAATTCTGCTAAAAATCTAGCATGTTTATTCCAGTCGTTGTGTGTGACTTATTATTTCTAGGTATATGATTAATATTTGAATTACCTAATGATGCAGATGAAGACCACTAAAGGACTTCATTAAATTCAGTAACCTAAGCAAATACGTTTTCATACCTACTATAAACATTATATGGCAGACGGGAGGTGTCTTTTATTCTCGTAATTGGGCAAAGGAGGGTAAAGTTTCGCGGTACGTGGAACTCCACGTGGTGTCTGATCAATACAACAGTCGGGACGGCGAGTGGTGGCGTGACACCCCAAAACAGCTGATGCACCCTCCCGCGCCCCCAATGCCGGCTCACCCCCTCGCCCTCGGCCGTCGCACCCTACGTACTTTCGATCTCGGCTGATATATTTGCAAGGGTGGAGCGGTATTACTTTTTCCTCATTCAAAACGAAGTTTAGCAATGTATTAGTATGGGATTTCCAAAGGTTTCCTACATTACAAACAATCTCTTTGACAATTTATCATTCCATTTGGCGCACAAAAGTTCTTTCATAACTATATTATACACGGTAATATGGAAGATTGGATTTAAAGTATGTACGGCACAACATTAATATTTATTAAAACTATTTTTTAGACGTTATATAGAGGTATGTATTACGTTTCAACCAAACTATTTCACAAGCAACCACAAACAAGACCAACGACACGTCTTTAGTAACGTAAACTCAACTCGTTGATGCGGCGCAAACTAGTCGGCTATGATACCACACGTCAAATATAATGTTTTCCAACAAGAGCTACAGTCCATCGAAAGATATGTCTTACAAAGCTAGGGCTAGCTATAACTCCTCGGAAGTCCACGAAGGATATACAGATCAGCAACAGCAGCAGTACCTCAAACACTTGAAACAGCTCAAGAATGAATTCGATCAACGCTGGCGTTCAAAACCGCCCTTTAGTATGACATTTGATGAACTCGATAGAGTCCGGACACTAGGCACAGGCGCATTTGGAAGGGTCGTCCTCCTAAGACATTCTAAATCTGGAAAGTTCTACGCAATGAAGATACTTGAAAAAGAAAAAATAGTCAAGCTGAAGCAAGTCGATCATACGCTGTTCGAAAAGAGAATACTCGAAGCAATAAGGTTCCCTTTCACTGTATCAATGGAATTTAGTTTTAAAGATAATAGTTACATTTATTTCGTGATGCCATTCGTGTCTGGAGGTGAAATGTTTACTCATTTACGAAAGATGGTGAAATTCGATGAACCTCTAGCGAAATTTTACGCAAGTCAAGTGATTTTGGCGCTCGAGTACCTACACTTCTGCAACGTGGTTTATCGAGATTTGAAGCCGGAAAATATTTTGATCGATAAAACCGGATATTTGAAAATCACAGATTTCGGTTTTGGTAAAATTCTTCAAGGTAGAACATGGACTTTGTGCGGTACGCCAGAATATTTAGCACCGGAACTAATATTGAGTAAGGGTTATGGTTTTTCTGTAGACTGGTGGTCGTTTGGCGTCCTGCTCTATGAAATGAACGCAGGGTACCCGCCGTTTTACGCGAACGAGCCAATGAAGACGTATGAAAAAATAGTCGCAGGGAAATATCGATGTCCTACGAGTTTTAACCCTGATCTACGTGACCTGGTGCGAAATACACTTCAAGTGGACATTACCAAGCGTTTCGGGGTTATGAAGGATGGTGTAATGGATTTCAAAAACCACAAATGGTTTAGAGGGATAGATTGGGATGCTATAGTAAACTGCAGATATCCTGCACCATTCATTCCTAAATACAAATCTCCGGGAGACGCCACAAACTTTGAACGTTACGAAGAAGAGACTCTGCAACCAGCTTCGTACTGTCGTTTTGAGTCTGAATTTATGGATTTTTAATGGTACCATGACTTGTTGTAGACCTAGTTTCCTAAAAAGTTTTAAAATTATGTTAAGGATTCTAGACATTGGTGTTACCTAAAATTACATAAGACATTTATGAATAAAGATTATAGTCGCTACTGAATATTCATTTATGTAAATTTAGTTGCATAACATTTTGAATTTTCTATTACAATGATTATAACAACAGAGGAGGCACTCAAAACGTCTAGTGTTATTTTTTTCGCTCTTCAGTTAATATAAATCGTGATTGAGCACGTGCGTGGCCCCTCCGTATGCGCTTGCGCCGATGCGAGGGCGAGCAGCCGTACACAAGGCACGCGACACGTCACTATATTTAGATTGCAATACATCGGAGCAGAGAGCGATGTCAAATCGTTTATAATACTGTGCCATGGAAACGTAACATAACGAAGATTTTGATTAACTGACGAATGCATCTCGTCGTAACATGCATGCGAATAAAAATCTACTTTCTCTTTCATTCGATTTATAAGGAAACAAGAATTACTTCTTTTTAACTGAAATATGGGTCCACTGATATTATTTTAAATACGAACAGATGACGCCAAAGAACACAAAAAAATAGACCAGCCGAATGTTAATTTTTGATACTAGTCTCTAACAATAACAAACCGAAAGAGCTGAATACAATTCGACTGGAGTAGCGTGTGGTTGTGATATTTTACGTTTTACGTATTATTTTAGGAAACTAACGATATGTTTTAGTCTACTTCGATATGCTGATTGATAAACAATTTACAATTTTAGCGTAAGAATTCGTCTAAACACAACCGTACTACAAATTCTCTACAATGTTTGTGCAATATAAAGTGTGCCAAGAATTCATATCCATTACAGCCCAACTCATATCTTTCGAATACGTTCAAATCCGAAGATAAAATAGTGAGATATTGGCTACAAACGTAGAGCATTATGAAGTACCCACCAGTATTGCGAATGACCCGAATATCATTCGCTCTCTGCCAAAATTAGCGTCAGAAATGAAACGTTAGTTCGTGTTTATGTCCAACATATGCTATGCACATGTTTTGATTAGAATGTTATTAATCCAAAGTACAAATGCAGCAATATACATACTATATTAGATTCCATTGTTAAGATTTTATTATTTAACAGTTATTTATCTATAATACTATAAAAAGGAGAGATTTATATTTTTGTATGTATGTATTCACGTAAAAACGTTTGGATCGATTTTAAAAATCCCTTCAACATTAGAAAGGTAATTTATCAGTGAGTATATATTCATTATTATATTAAAATTTCACGCGGGAAAAATCACGAGCAGCAGCTGCTGTAAACTATACATCGAAAACTGTGTAATAGTTATTAAGTTTGCATATTCTATGACAACACAATTGCGAATACACTATAAAAAAGAAACAGGATTTAATTATATTGCTCAAATCTCAGACCACAGACAAAAAAGAGAAATCATTAGCATACAAAGACAAGTTACACGACACAGTTATTACACTTAAAATAGTACCTAAAGAAGCTTTTTTACTTTTTCATAAAAACAAATTTAATATATAAGCAAATACTTTAATTGTCTCTGTTGCCAGCACCAGATATCTTTTTTCTTAAGTACTCTTTAAGATTCACTCAAAAACAGTTTGGAAAACTGTCGCTTTAACTGCAGTTTCCGACTTAAAGGATCCATTCTCTCCCTTGAGAAATATACATTTCTTTAGACTTTCAGTTTACTTGACACAGAAAACAGAAAGAATAGTGTTCTAGTCAAATATGACGACACTATAAATTCTTTCGTCGGATTTTATACCTTTACACTGTAGGACATGAATCGTCATGAATTAATGAAAGATATTTCAAATAATGTTAATATAACAGTGAGTCTTTTAGAGAAAGTTGCAAATTATTATATTTGTAATTGCGTATATTAACGGAAACTAAAGGATCAACGCCTTACAACAATGGAGTCGGTCGCACAAGCAAGGGTTGTGTCGTGATCAACCGAGTGGAAAGTGCATTAAGCGAAGTTCCGTCCTCTAGAGAAATACAATGACATATTCTAGAATAATCAAAACAGTTTTAAGGAAACGTGTATTTAAATATATTATAAACATAAAATTATTTAATTAATTCGTTATCTACGTTTGCGTGTCTTGTAGTGTTGAAGATCCAACTAGACAATTTGATAAGGTATATATATATGAATAGTATAGTGAGACCAAATTTAGTTTTTAGTACCATTATAAAAATGTGACGTGCTCTCTTAATAAAATGTACCACAGTCAAAAGATAAAAGCACAATGAACCGTTATAAAAAGTGGGAAGTTTCAAAGCATTGAAGAACGTAAAACAATTGCATAAGAGAACAAGAGCCTAGACGACCTCTTATTCTGCGCCGACTAGTTATTATTATTGATAGACTACCGTGAATGTAGAAAGCATATAGTAGCTTAGGGCTGTCACGAATTAATATCAAATATTGTTTTTAATTGTCTCAATCCCACAAAACATTAAACTATAAATACAATCCTTTCAAAAGTCGAAGACTAGAATAGGACATCCTTATGTTTACAGCCACAAGACTTTCAAGTAAAAAATTAAATCAACAAACATATTAACTGTAAATCTACTGCAAACATCCAATTCACAAATGAGCACGTAATTATCCCTGCAGTGATCGGCTAGATAATTTTATAGCAACCCTATATAACCGCATTAACAGTTGTTAACTGAAACGATGTGGGTCAACATTGATGCAGACTGCAGCGCTCGATGCAGAACTCAAAGGGAGATAAGAGGGACGGAATAGGGTGGACACGTATCGATTTATACCGATTGACGTGCCCTCAGACACGAACTAATGAAACATTTGTTAGCTTTTTTACCATTTTGATATATTCTGTCTTCTTAAAAGTTATTTCTTAGTCTGTGCTATTTATCTTTATTTAAAACAACAATCTTGTTAGAAACATATTAGGAAAAGGATGGAAAAAGGGGGGGTTGTTTTATAAAATACTTGGCAAGTAGTGGTCCAGGCCCCCTCAGTCGCTAACAAACTCAATATTTTTCTAGTCGTTACCATGAAACGTTCGATATCTTTACGTAGTTGCATTTGAGTTGAGTTTGTTCGTTTTAGAGTAATTTACATGTGTTGTTAATATGGCCGTCCATATGTATTTTTAAAATCATTTGTGTCGAAATATCTAACAATTGAAGTTTTAGATAGTTATTGTTTTGTGTTTGTATTC